CAAGTTTCAATACCAAGAATTTGACAAGAGAATAAAAGAAAGTGGAAACATGAAAGGAAATTACTGGTTTCCGAGGTGGTGGCAATAATGGGAGAATTACGGAGGGAATAATGCTCAGCAGTGTGTTGTCTTCTCACTGTTTCCCTTTAGGTTGCATCAGTGGCAGCTGTTTCATCCCTTAGTAATTGTTGCTGTCACATTTTCTCAGCTCTTTGAAAAACAATTATTTACTTGGAGTGTTCCTCCCCTATTGCTTTGATAACTGCCTCATGAGTGGGTTCTTTGACCAAATCAGAAGGAGAGAGTCATTTTCTTTCTCTTTTTTCTCTATAGTGGTATTTCCTGCTCTTTCTCAATCTCTCTCTCTTTAATCTGAGACTCAAACTCTTCAGGAGTGAGTATTAGTTTTCTTTTCTTTTTCTGCTGATGTTTGTCTTTGAGAATAGCTAGCGCTTCAGCTCTCTTAGGAGATTCTTCTTGTGGAGACCCTATACCAAGAGGCATAAATGTAAAGGAAATAGACAGAAAAGTCTAAAAGAAAAGAAACTTGAAAATACATACCTTTTTTTGAAGCAGCTCAAGTAACTCTAGCAGGAGGGGGTAAGGCTGCAGGAACAGTTTTGGTAGCTGTGGAAAGAGAGGGAATGTTCCCGGCTGCTGTTGGTTTAGCCTTAGAAGACACACCTAGTGCTATCAATAAATCATGAGGATGTATTGCTAGATGCACTTACATATTGTCTGTCCACCAATTTTGAAATCTCTTTAAAGCCAAGCCAGAGGGGAGGAAGGGGACAAATTTAAACTCACTCATATCCTTCAACAGTTTAAATGTTGCCTCCTCTAGTTTGGATTTGGGTACTTTTAGGTCTCTAGCTGTGAGATGGACATTCGAGAGACTGTAGAGTGGAATGGGAATCTCTTGAGTAAGCCTAAATTGCCTGGCAAACTGGGAAGGGCAGTATACCTCAGATATGCACTTATAAGCTCGAGGGTTTAAAGTGCCAATAAAAAGTTCCCTTGGCAACAAAATGGAAAGCCCACGTGTCTTGGTGCGAGGGAATGAAACACTATTTATCAGCCAAGAATGTCTTTAGCCAAATTGGCCCCTTATTGGCATCAAAGGGAGAGAAGAAGGTGGCAGTTGGGGAAACAAGGAGTTGATGGAAAAAAGTAAGATAATAAGCAAAAGAAGCGAGATAGAGGGCAATCCTGGCATATTTTTCCCTATAAGTGCTAGGATCCTGAATTAGGAATTTTAAGCATTTGGGATGCAAATCAGTAAAGTAAGTGAAGAACCAGAGTTAGAGCACCCAAAGGGGACCTCCTTGGTTGATATCAAGAGGTTTCTCACAAAATTGGGAGCAGGCTCTATAAACATAGCCTAAGAGATAAGGGGCCGAGGCTATGCATTTCTTTAAAATAAGGGCCTTTGCAAGTGGTGCAAATTCAGGCATAATTCATTGGGATGATGTACAAAAAAGAAATTTACACGACCAATATAAAATAAAGAAGAAGAGTTCTCGATCACCCACAGGACCCACCTTCTTGTTTTCAGCCTTTACAAAAATCACTAAAAGAAGAATTCAGACTGAAGAGAAAATTTAACCAAAAGGTCTGGGTAACTGGGTGTGAAAGGGGTTCCAAGGGGTGAAAGCCCTAAGAGATGGCACATATCAAGAACGGTGGGAGCCATCATACCAAAATGAAACTGGAAAAAGTTGAATGCCATGTTCCAGAAACAAAGAGCGGCATGAATTAAAAAAGGGTCTTTAAGGATAATAAACCTAGAAAGACGAAGGGCATTGAGGATGCAGAGTTCTTGTAAGTCTCATTCTCTTGCAGGCATAACCCTGTCGTACCACTCCTCCCATTCAGCCCTCAATATTGGCCAGCAACGGTGAGGTCAATTCATTCTTCAATTTCCCTAGTCCAGCCCCCCTTCATAGAGAAGAAAGTGGTCCTCCAAACGACGGTATGAAGTTGGAAGTTGAGCAGGTGCTTCTCAAAAGGTGGGACCTAAGACATATTCTTGTTTGTCGCTATAGCAAGGAACAAAAAGGCGTCCTTCTATGGCACTTGACCCATCAGCTATAAATTTGGCTATCTCTTCCTCAATATATATTTTTAAAGCCATGGTTGGGCTTATACGTTCGCCAGACGATACTTTCAATGAAGAAGAATCCATTGGTCACAAGCAGCAAGGAACAGAGGATTAGTAGAAGGGAAGGGTTTGTGTATTCAATAAACTAATGAATTCAGAGCACAAAATAAAAGGGTTTTAAAACCTTTGTGTCTAAGAGGATGCCCTATTTGTGGAATTCATATAAAAGTACTAAAAGTATGGATGCGGTAAATTTCCTTCAATCTTGTTAGTTATGGAGGGAAAACGCATCTCAAATACTGATGTCAGCTTCAAAATAAAATATTTGGCTTCGAAGTCAAATTTTGGTGCCAAAATGAAATAACAAACGGCTTCGAATGTAGGAAGCCTACTTCAAAGAACATTCCACGCCTCACGGTGAAAGAGTGCTTAGGTATTTTACTTCAAAAGGATTAAAGACCTGTTTTAGGTTTCTTAATGAGAGTAGAATCCTTCGAAGCAAAATTTGAAATACCTTATGGCTGGAAATTGATAGCTGGTTTGATAGTATGCAGAAGAGATCACTTTTGTTTTATTCAGTATTTAAAAGAAATTTCCATGTCTTGGAAAATTTAGGCTGATTGTTTGAAACAAAATTGGTTGATTTGAAATTGCTTGATTAGCCATATTGTTGGGGAACTGGATATGATCAAGTCAAGTTTCAAAGAGCAAAATTGATAAATTCGAAGCTTTACTTATGAAAGGAAACTGGCAAAAGTTTCCAATTACCTTCCATATGTTGGAAAGGTTCATATTGAACTTCTATTATATCATCAAATCAAGTTTTCAAAAGACAAAGTTGGTTAATTCGAAATTGATAGCTAAAGAATTATGTCGATCCTAGAGTCAACATAAAAGGCAATAATTGTTTTCTTCAAGGGAAGATTTCACACCTTGAAAGAGTTTGAGTTAGAATTTGGGTTGACATAAGCACAACAACCATACAGTTTACAATTAAAATCTAACAAATGGAATTCGGAAACCCTAGTTTTATTTACATTGAATTCATTGAACTACATTCCCAATTTTGTAGAAGTATGGAATGGACAGAGTTACAAGGTCATGAAATTTAGTCCAACAAAATTCAATAAAAGAAAACTCTTTTCCTACTCTATCCTCTATTTTGTCTAGGTTTGGCTTATCTAATTGGTAAGCCCTTAATTGAGAAGTGAGTTGTTGGGCTTTCACTTCAAATTCTGTCTGTTTGAGGGCTTTGTCTGTGGCGTCCATTTCTTCCTCTCCATGCACTTCGTTCATCGCAACATCCTCCCCATACTCGGAATCCGGGCTCTTGAAGGCCTCATAGTCATCAAGGAGGTTTTCTGCCTCATACTGAATCTAGGTTCGAGCATAAATGGCTTCATCCAGAACTTCACTGGCAATGGTGGCATGGAAGTGCCAGTTGAGCAGAAGAGGGAGTTGGTCTAAAAATGTACAGAGCTCTATTTGGGCCACAGGGTTAAGGAGATGGCTTCGAGACATAATGTCACAAGCCCATAGAAAGTTTTGGTGGGGAATATCATTTCAAAGGACCTCGAAGGATAAATGAGAGAATGTAGCAAGCAATATTTGAGCTCTGAATTGTTGATAGGGAGTTTAAGGCACTGGGACCCTATAAGGGGGAAATGATTGGCCCTCAGAGAGAGTGAGCTTCAACTCATTAATCCAATCTGGGTTAAAAGGGAGATGAGGAGTAGTCCGAGGTTCCTTGGGTGAGTCCAGAAATTCAGGCCTGGTCACACATTTTGGCCAATAAGAGGGGTAAAGTTTTGCCTTCTTGGCTAAAAGTGCAAGGTTCATCCCCAGAGTTTCAACGGGAAGTGGGACACTTCGAACCATCCGAGATGGCATGGTAGAAGTATACCACGATGTAATTAGATTGTCTTCAAGACTGCCTCTACGATTAATAGAAACATATGGATATACTACTGAACTGTGTTTGAAAGGAGGAATGTCAAGAGGGTCATCGAATTTAGGGAAACGATGATGAATGCATTCCCTTGTCTGAGGTTGAGTAGTAGTGGACCAAGTTCCCCAGCCAGAAGCCGTAGAAGAAGAAGAAGCAGTAGCAACTTTGTCCCACACGGATAGTTTCGTTCCAGAAGAAGAGCTTCCGATATCCATGATTGCAAATTTGTGTTCTAGAGAATCATAAGTAGTAGGTTCTTGGTTCGAAGGACGGTGATTTGCGAAAGCTTCCATAACTTGTACAAATGGAGGTGGATAAAGACGGCTAATCAATGCATGAAGGTTCTTTCGAGGACGAACAGTGTCATCAAATAACTCTTCATATGCATGATCAATGTAAGAGAAGATTGGCTTAGCCATAAAAGATGAATCAGTCTTTTTGAATACTGAGATAATAGGAGTGTTCAAGGGTTAGAAGAGAATTTCATGCAAATGATGAATGACAGTTGCATTTCTGAGAAATGCAAAAGCCCATGCACGTTTTAAGACGTGGATAAAATGCCTTAATCCACTAATATCACTAAGTATTGGGTATATTAATGGGGGGGGTAATGTTGGCTACATATTTTGTATAAGCCAATCAAGGGTTAGAAGAGAATTTAATGCAAATGATGAATGACAGTTGCATTTCTGAGAAATGCAAAAGCCCATGCACGTTTTAAGACGTGGATAAAATGCCTTAATCCACTAATATCACTAAGTATTGGGTATATTAATGGGGGGTAATGTTGGCTACATATTTTGTATAAGCCAATTACAGTTCGATACGTGGCAAGATGAGGGCAACACGGGAAGACAATTCAAGTCTTCAATCATGATCACACACGTGGCAGTTATTATTGGTTTTTGTAGATCTGCGTAGCACTAGATCAGTAGAGAGATGCAAGGTGACATGGCCTCAACGGTGACGCATATATTCAAATTCAAAATTCGAGAGGGAAGCTTAATTGCATTTGGCATAGTGGAGCTAACTGCAAGGAAGCATGATCAGAGGTCATGGAGGGATGGTTCGACGGTTAGAAGTCCATTTCGACGGTTGTCATTAAGAAGTATAAATAGCAGAGAAGGCCCCAGAAAAAGCCCCAGACTCAGATCCAAAAAACCAGTTTTATCTACTTTATTTTCTTTCTAGTTTTTACATTTCTTGTTCTTTACATTTTTGTATTTCAAATTTCTACACTGCACTTCGTTCATTGGAGTAGATTCAAGTAGTTTTGTTGTTGTAAACTTCTACGAGGCTGAATTGGATCATTGTAAGTTTTTCATTTTAATGAAATACTTCAATTGTTCTTTATTTGATTATTATTTATTTAATTCTCCTAAATCAAGCCACCAGTAAAAGTCCTCTTCATTGAGGCTGAAAGAACTAAAACATAATCGTCTGATAATTGGTTGGCAATTACTTTTCTGTAAGGACTGATTGATCTTTGCTGGCACGCTCACAATTACAATAATAAACCTTCAAAAGCCAAAAAGCCAGCACAATGACGATGAAATTCGATCTCCACCGCACACAACGTAGCCCTCGCCTAGATAACCGACTTTGGTGAAGAACTTAGGTCTAAATCCCAATGGATTTGGAGAAATCAAAGAGAGAATATGACTTCTAGAGAGAGAAGCTCCCAATCTGGAGTTCTAGAGAGTTTTAGAGAGAGAGAGAGGACTGAAAAAATGATCTAAAATATCAGATTCACGAACTGATATAACATGATCCGCTCGAGCGTGAAATGCCCCGCTCGAGTGTCAAATACGCTAACCCAATACTTTTGCAGACAGGTTAAACTTATGAAACCAAACATTCTCCGCTCGAGCACATAAACGGCCGCTCGAGCGGACAAGCAACTTCGAACGCATTTTGCATTTGTGTTTTGAGGGTGCTGCCCTTTAACCCCACCAGGGCGCTACCCTAGGACCCGCCAAGGGGCGCTGCCCCTTGGACCCCTATTAGCTGACCGGGCAGCCCGACCCCTACCAAGGCGCTACCCTTGGACCCGTCAAGGGGCGCTGCCCTCTAGACCCTTGCGGGCTGACCGGGCAGCTCGACCCCCGACCGGCCCAATCGAAGTGGCAAAATATGAAAGAATGATCGAAACCAGGATCGCTACATAAACTAATAAACAAACACCATTACAACAATCAAACAGTGAAAAAAACAAACTCCAACGCTAACACAAACAAAACTATAACTCTAAGTCGAACAGAGATCGAATGAAGATCTCCAACTCAATGAAGCTCTGATATATACAACTCAATGAAGCTATACTCGATAAATTTCTCTTGCTTTACAACTTGATAAAAGCAGTGGTTAATCTCGCATAACTTCGAATCGAAAAACAATAATCAATGAAGGAGAACTACTCTAGGGATGGAACGACAACAACATTGAGAAATTTGATTCAAATCTCTCACGAATATATGGATAGATAAAATTATCTAAAAAGAAATTTAAAAAAAATGTTACTGTATCCTCCATCAAGTACGTGCCTCTATGTGAGAGAGTTTATGAAGAAGAAGAATTACAGGTTGTCCTTTTCACCAAAAGGAGGCCCAATAGAGGAGTTTTGGCCAAATTTTCCTATTTTATATAGTAAAAATCAATGTCGTAAGTTTTACATTATTTATAAATTTTATTAGTATATATAGCGGTATCACACTTCTCCTCTTCTCATCTTTAGCCCCCCCTATAGTTCCCCAAGCTCAATTTGTTTAGGATGAAATAAGTAAAAAATGAAAAAAAAATTAACTTCTGAGTTTATTTAGTTTGAAAGTGGTGGAAAGTGTAAGAAAACTAATTTTCTTGTACAACCCATATTAGTATTGTGACTAATTTTTTATTTCCTGCAAAAAAAACACAAGAAAAAAAAAATTGAATGTGTGAATTATATATAACTAAACTTTTAAATTTTTCTATTTTTTTCTTACAAAATTTGTATCTTAATCAAATGCTTGTTAGAAAAAATATTTTCTTTTTTATTTCTGTTCTTTCACATCATTTTCTTTTAGTTTTACCTTCTACCGAATTTTCTTTTTCATCGAACAGAGCCTTAATGATAAAATTGAAAAAACAAAATAAAAAGATGAATCATTATTCTTATATATTGGTCCCTCTATATTAAAATCTTGGATCCATTCCCAAATACCAGAGTGCACAAAAAAAAAAGGAAAAAAAAAAAAAGAAGAGAGAAGTATGACCACATTAATTACGTGATAATTAAGAGTGCTAAGTCAATGCCAAACTCGCACTACTATGGAATAGTTAGTTTGGTTTTGGAGATGCTACAAATACAAAAATCGATTGCATAATCAAAACACACAATTTGTTAGTAAAATCTATTTATGAAAAATTTTATGTATTTATGTACATTTTGTGTCTAATTTTATAACTGATTTATATATTTGTAGATTTGTTTAATAGAGATAGGAATGGTCAGAAAACAATGGATTGACAATTCATCCATCTTTTATGAGCATTTTCAAGGAACTCTTTAAGTGAGGCTGGTTATTATTATAACTAATATTATCATGTTTTAGGCACTCAAATAGGTTAGCTATTACAATAGTTATTTTAACAAAAAATTTCAAGGTTAGTTATATTTGAAGAGCCTTGAGAGATTTTTTAAACAGTTTGTGTGTATGACTAGGTAAAATAAGGAGTAGCATTGGAATATATAGATAAAAAAATAATAATTAAACAAAATAAAAAAAATACATTTTTTATATTTTAATGAAGAGTATGATTGGTGTTGCTCTTATGCCACAACTTTATAACCACCGTGTAATTATTAAGTAGTACTGAAGCATTATAGTATTATTTTACAACGTATTATTTTACGAATGGGTCCAACTTACCTTTGTTTGGTAGTGTTACAATTTTTCATTGATCGGAAATATCACATAGACATTGCAACATATAATACTCTAAAAATATCTATAAAAAAATTATAAAAAAAATTCATAATGACCTTGCTTTATAAATTACAAATGTACAATCGGCTAATGCATCTATTTTTCTTCATATATTCTGTTTTGATTTTTGGATTTCATAATATTAAAAAAAAAATGAAACGAAACGAAAAAATGAAGTGAGAGATGAACTATAGTAATGCATAAATATTGGTTTTTCTTCACAACTATTTAAGTTTTTCGGGTTTGACAAATAAAATTTGTTGCTTTTTGTTTATAGTAAATCTTCTTTTTTTTTTCATTTCGTCAATTTTTTTTTTTTTTTTGTAAGTCTATTAAACTCAAAGACCCCCCCTTTTTTTTTTCTTTTCTAATGGACCATATTTTAAAAATATCAAAAAGAGAATAAAGGGAAAAAAATGTCAATTTTTCTCTTTTTAAATCTATTGGTTTTTTTTGACCATATCTAAAAATTAAGATAAATTGGGCATTTTTATTCAAACTAAAAAATTAGACTTAATTTTCAAACTCAATAATTTATTAAAATATTTAAGACAACACTCTCTCTTATATCTTTTCTAATTATTTATCAATCATCTCACTTACAAATTGAGTCTAAAAAACAAGCGTAGAAAATGGGTTTTTATATCATTTTTCTAAATGATACAAATTATCAGCCCAAAAAATAAATAAATAAAAACTTCTTTAATAGTTTATGTTAGTTAAGCTGGCATCCCATGTTTAGAAATTATATTCTATTTCTTATTGAAATTTGTCTATTAAGGGTGGGCAAACATTAATCTGAGGGAGAATTCCACAATATACACTCATTATCATATGAACTTTTAGTTATGTTATTTTCCTTTTTAATTATAATTTTTAGTTACGCTATTTTCTTTTTTAATTATAATATTTTTCTTTAATTATGATATTATTTTGAGATATTTAGTTATGCTTCACATAGTATTTGATTATGATTTTTTTTAATTATAATTTCAAAAAAATATAAAATTATATATATTTTTCTTTAATTATAAAATACATATAATACCTACCATTTAAAAAGTATATACATAATCTTTCCCATGACTTGAGAACTAGAATTCGATTAGTCGTGTCATGTCTACATTTTATAGATTCATTGATGCTCATTCTCTAGGAGCTAAACTTTTATTTTTAGGGTTAGTCCACCAATAAAAAAATCATTTAAATCTCTCCTACATAAAAATTCATTCTTTTGTCCCCAATCGATCCTATGACATTCGGGAAATTATGTTTTCAGGTAATAATTTTTTTCAAGTACACATAATATCTTTTTAATACATACATAAAAAAAAAATTAAAATTTTCAATATATGTCTCTTTGTTTCAACGGTAATGCTACGTAGCTCGAAAGAGCTTCCCCGAATTCCCCCCGAAACGAAAACGATGTCGTTTTCGGCGTTTTCATTTTTTTTTTTTTTCAGAAGAAGAAGAAGAAAATCAGAAGGAAGAAGAAGAAGAGAAGGAAGAAGGAGGAGGAGGAGGAGGAGGGACTGGAGGGGGCCAACAAATTGGGCTGGAGGCGGAGGAGGGGCGGGGGCTGCGAGGTAGAGGCTGCGACGACGATCGGCGGAGGCGGGGCTACGACGATAGGCAGAGGCGACGGCGGAGGGCTGCGACGGCGGGCGGAGGGTGCTGCGACGACGACCTGCCTTCTCTCTCTCTCTCTCTCTCCCTCTCCTCGCCCTCTCTCTCTCCTTCTCCTCTCCCTCTATTTCAGATGTGCAAAACGAAGAAGAAGAAGAAAAAAAAAAAAGAATGCCCAAAACGACGTCGTTTTGGGCATTCTTTTTTTTTTTTCTTCTTCTTCTTCGTTTTACAAAT